GGCCAAAAATGCCAGCTCGAAAACTATGGAGGTCTTTTTACAGGCAAGTACCAAACCAAAAACAACAAATACCAAAAAAAATGGAACACACATAAAAAAAAATTGCAAACACAAAAAACAACAACAAAAATAATACTGACATGGGATTAATAAAATAAAACGGGTAAAACGAAATAGTAAGAAAGATAATGAATAATAAAATTAAAAAAAAAAATAATCCTTTCAAAATCCAAGTTTCTGAAAAAATCGACGCTTCTGTTAATCCTTTGAAAAATATTAATAAAAAATCTACGCCCCTGTTGGTCTATTGACAAAATATTTAAAAAATCCAAGCTTGGTCCTTGAAAAAATATTCTTTAAAAATGACTCGCCTTTGTTGGTCCTTGACGATCGGTATACTTAAAGGTGGGTCTAGGACCAATATTTCTTTAAAAAATTCACTCCTTTTCTATATGCCGACCACTGTAACATGTATTTTTTTACATTGCCTTTTTTGTTATTGTAAGCAAAATCGAAGACATATTTTTGTAAATTACCCGTGACAACATGCCGAGAACAAAGGTTACAACATAAACAAATACCTAACATGACAACAAATCGGATATTTGTTATCCTTTCTTTCATTTCGTCCTTTATTGCTGTGTTTGTTTTTTTTTCTTTCTGAGAATTATCACATTAGTATTGATTTTGGCATGGTGATAAAAGAATTTAAGGATAATCTAATGAAAATGGGTTTAGTTACATATGTATGTATGTGTGTGTATGCGACAAATATTTGGTAATGTCTGCTACAAAAAGGATATGAACGGTAATCCTTATGTAAGGTTTACAAGAAGGCACGTGATTGAAAAAATGAAATAAATACCAAAGAAATTAAAAAAGGGCGTGTCACGAAAAATGTCCTTTAAACATCATACCTTAAAAATGTCTCCGAGTCATAGAAAAAAAAAACTCTAATAAAAATCTAAACCTATTCCTTTCCAAAAATAAATCTTAACAAATTATAGTCTTTAAAAAAGGAAATCCATACAAATGCACGTCCTTGCAAATAATATCCTTTAATCCTTGAAGAAAAAATAAACGCCCAGTCTTTGAAAAAAATACTTTAAAAATCCTCTCCTAGTCCTTGAACAAATTCTTAAAATAGACACGCCCAGTCCGTTCAAATTATTCCTCACAAAATCCAGCATAGTCCTTAAAAATATATTCCTGCGGATTTTTTTTTCCGAACCTGGGTAATATTTCATGATAGTTGTACCCTCTGTCTTCCAATATTCAGTACAGCCCTTCTAATTACTTGTCCAGATTCCCTTCAACGTGGGTTGTGTTGTGATGTTCGGCTTTCTATTGTGACCTATAGATCGACTCGAAAAAAAACACAAAAAATAAAGTTTTCGGTCTACTTTATCCCAATATTATTATCTGATGATGACCGAGCATTATAGGCGTTGTCCTTGACCATACCTGGATCCTCAATGAACATTTCAAAGCGATCAGCGCTATATTTTCGCTCTCTAGTGTGGTAATGGGTTACTAAATAACATATGAATACGTAAGCACCTGTAAATATTTAAGTGTAACTCCCACATTCGAGCACATACGACAATAAAATTGGTATCAATTTAATGGTCAACCACTCCTCTTGGATATACTATCAACTTCTCGGGTCTGTGTTCTTCTGGTGTAAATGTAAACGATTTGGAATACAAATTTTGTCATTTTTCACACAAAAGTCAGGGTATATTTGACCCGCTAAATATTGACCGACAGGCATGCTTATTCTTTGGTCCTATCCCCTTCTGCATGTAAATTCGCAATGTTTGGGCCATAATTGCGGCTTATAGCGCGACCAGAAAATTAGACAAAAATAAAGTTTTTGGTCCATTTCATTCCCTAAATATTAACAGATTTTTACCAAAAACAATAGGGTTCTTAATTGGGCAGAACCCATCCTATATGGAAAATTTCGTGAAGATTAGCACATAACTGTGGCCTGTATCGTGTTTACAAATTATAATGGACAGACGGACGGACACACAGGTCTAGATCGACTCAGCTAGTCGAGATATGACGATCGCTATACGTAAAGGTGGGTCTAGGACCAATATTTCGCAGCGTTACAAACTCTTGGGGCTGAACAAAGCTATAATACCCTGACAACATAGTTGTGTAGGATATAAAAATGTCGCCTATTATCATTGAAAAAATCCTTAACACATGTGACAAATAAGTCCTCAAAAAATCGGGAAATCTTTCCTTAAACATTTTTCGCCATGAAAAACAAATCCAAGCCTTAAAGTCCTTTGAAAATAATAATCCTTTAAAAATCCACACCTGAAAAATAAGTTCTTAAATAATCCCATCCATTTAACAGATGTAAAAAAAACCTTTTAAAAATCCTTTAAAAATCCTTTAAAAACCTATGCCTTAATAGGTTTTAAATATGGTCCTTGAAAAAGTAAATCCTTTAAAAACCTATGCCTTAATAGGAAAACGAAAAAGAAATCCTTTAAAAATCCAAGCCCTAATGATCCTTGAAAACGGAAACCCTTTAAAAATCCAAGCCTTAATGATCCTTGAAAACGGAAATTCTTTAAAAATCCAAGCCTTAATGATCCTTGAAAACGGAAATCCTTTAAAAATCCACGCCTTAATGATCCTTGAAGACGGAAATCCTTTAAAAATCCACGCCTTTATGATCCTTGAAAACGGAAATCCTTTAAAAATCCACGCCTTTATGATCCTTGAAAACGGAAATCGTTTAAAAATCCACGCCTTAATGATCCTTGAAAACGGAAATCCTTTAAAAATCCACGCCTTAATGATCCTTGAAAACGGAAATCCTTTAAAAATCCACGCCTTAACAAATCCACACCTATAAATCCTTTTCCACGCCTTAATGGTCCTTGAAGAAGTAAATCCTTTAAAAATCCACGCCTATATCCTTAAAAAATAAATCCTTTTAAAATCCACGCCTATATCCTTAAAAAATAAATCCTTTAAAAATCCACGCCTATATCCTTAAAAAATAAATCCTTTAAAAATCCACGCCTATATCCTTAAAAAATAAATCCTTTAAAAATCCACGCCTATATCTTTAAAAAATAAATCCTTTAAAAATCCACGCCTATATCCTTAAAAAATAAATCCTTTAAAAAGTAAATCCTTTAAAAATCCACGCCTATATCCTTAAAAAATAAATATCTTAGAAATCCACGCCTATATCCTTAAAAAATAAATCCTTTAAAAATCCACGCCTATATCCTTAAAAAATAAATCCTTTAAAAATCCACGCCTATATCCTTAAAAAATAAATCCTTTAAAAATCCACGCCTATATCCTTAAAAAATAAATCCTTTAAAAATTCACGCCTATATCCTTAAAAAATAAGTTCTTTAAAAATCCAGGCCTATATCCTTAAAAAATAAATCCTTTAAAAATCCACGCCTTAATGGTCCTTGAAGAATTAAATCCTTTAAAAATCCACGCCTTAATGGTCCTTGAAGAAGTAAATTCTTTAAAAAATGGTCCTTGAAGAATTAAATCCTTTAAAAATCCACGCTATATCCTTAAAAAATAAATCCTTTAAAAATCCATAGCCTAAAAATAAATCCTTAAAAAACAATTTTGTTTTATGGATGACCTTAGACGCTCCAACTTGACTTAATATCAACCGTCCTTATTTTGTTCTCCTCTACAATAGGTTTTTTGTTTCCGATTTAATATGAATTTAATAAAACAATCAACTCGTTAAGAAACACCAGAGGCCAACAGTCCAAATGGATTATTGACCCACTTGACTAATGGTGGCGATACCACCAAGATGTGCCTAAGTCATATGGAACATGCTATCATCCTGTAATGTGTATGGCCCAAGGGCACAATAAGGTCAATTAAAGCTGTTGAATATTCAACACGTCCCTGGGTGTGTGTGTGTGCGTCCATGTGTATGTTTGCACTCTTAAAGTTTCCTGTCATATTCGACTTTGACGTCTTATCAATTTTCCGAACGAACTACAAAAGATGCTCATTTTGACTTGGCCGGATACATAAAGCTTAAACAGGCAGAAGGAGATGAAGGATAACATCTGATAATATGTTTTATGATGGCTTAACGTGAAATCAAACATATTTTGGAAATTGTTATTTTTTTTGTAGTTTAGCAACAGCTCAAGTGATAACTTCAATTGAAGTCCTTATATCACATTTCAGGAAATACAGATTACTTGGTCTCCTACAAAAATATCCTTAAAAAGGATATCCTTAAATGATAATCTTTGACCTTCAAGAGGACATGAATTGATGAACCTGAAAAAATGTCCCACGGAATGTGGATTCTGAGCACCTTTAGTTTGCTTTAAGAGATTCTCAAAAAAATCGTACAAAGTCCCCCACCTATAGTCCTTGCAATGTAAATCCTACAGAAAATCTCTATGAAATCTTCGATAGATTTTTTTGTTCTTTTATATGAGCAGAACCCTAATACATGCTATTTTAATAAACCTCATGTTTACTAAATGTTTTTTTAGGAAAACCGCAACACACTCACACACATGCACACGACACATACCATCATTCCCATATTCCCTCTCGCTCTCACTCTCCCTCCCCCAAATTACTGTGTATCCTTGAGCCATCATTATTCTGTAGTTTATTTTTTGAAAAATTGCTTAGCAAAACATTATTCGACTTTTCAATAAAACGATGATAAAATAATGTGGCCTAAATTGCGGGGGAGTAAATTGTTCAACAATTCCTGAACAATTCTTGCCAAGTAATTCAATTATGCTGGTAGAAGAATTTCGAACAAAAGGGAAGCTGTAAAACAATTTTGTGTTTAAACTAACTACGAAATTGCTTTAAATAGAAATAATTTCAAAATCTTTAGACACAACAATCAATAGGCAATCAGTTGTTAGCAAAGGTCATGTGTTGGGCGCCATGGATAGACTCAACCCTTACATCGCCATCAACAGAGTGTGAAGAAGACTTGGAACCCCTTAAGAACATCGTGTCAGCAATTGTTTTTTGTCTCAATGTTGCACCTGCAATAACTGTCTGATTGACTGAGTGTCGAAATATGTCTGGTATATCCCCAACAAACCGCCCCAAAACAAGTAGCAACTCCCATCGTAATTATTTATGTTATTAGCAAATATTGTGTCCTTAGATATACCCCCCACCCCACTCACATTAGGAATTTGTGAAATATTTAACATAACAAGTATTTAATTAATTAATTTTTTGGAAAAAATGTTTCATAAATAACAACATAACCCTTTTTATAATTTCTTCCTCCATCGTTTCCGGCTGTTCGATTAGTGGGGTGAACAACGAAATTGCCCACGCGAGGAAATGATTTCATTTTACGACTCGGAGGGAAATGTTCCCCTGCATTCGGCTGTCCATGGTGGTGATATCAAGGCGGTGAAATTGTGTCTGAAGTCGGGAGCGAAAATCTCAACGCAGCAGCATGACTTGTCAACGCCGGTCCACTTGGCCTGTGCACAGGTGAGTAAAAATTCAAATAACAAAAAAAAAACAAAATTAATAAAATTTTAATTAAAACAAATATAAAAAATAATATTTAAGTATGAATAGTCCTCTAAAAAATCGGATTCTATTGCAATAACAGTTTTTGAAAAAAATTACCTAGCACTAGAAAAATTTTTTTCTCATAGAAAAATAAATCCTCTAGCCCTTGAAAATCGTACTCAACAAATTCAAGTCTATACTCTTTGAAAAAGAATCCTTAAGAAACAACTCCAGAAGTCCTTGAAAAATAATACTAAAAAATTCACGACTGTAATCCTTTGAACAATAATCTTGAAAACCTGTAAGGAAAGTAGTGAAGTCGGGCGGGGCCGACTATATGATACCCTTCACCAATTTGGGTCTATTGTACATATGTATCCTTACAATTGCATGCCAATGTTCCCTGCAAAGGAACATACTCATGTCTTTCTGCAACCTCTGATAAATTTAATATCATCCTTAAAAAAGAACTCCAGAAGTCCTTGAAAAATAATACTTAAAAATTCACAGCTGTAGTCCTTGAACAATAATCTTGAAAACCTGTAAGGAAAGTAGTAAAGTCGGACATATTGTACATATGTATCCTTACAATTACATGTCAATGTTCCCTGCAAAGCAACATACTCTTGTCTTCCTGCAACCTCTGATAAATTTAATATCATTCGGACAGATTTAGAGTAGTCTCCATACCATGGGAAAAATTTATGGGAAACAATTTATAGCAAAATTGATACACGTTATTCGGTACGCCACACTGTTAAAAATTTAATTTCAATCAAACACCCGTTCGAAATTCTAGGATATATAGGGACTTTGATGCAATATTTACCTAAAATCGGACGAAAATATATATGGGAGCTATATCTATATCTGAACCGATTTTCCCGAAACTCACCACTCATCATTCTATACTCAATTCAGTGCGCTATACCAAATTTCGTGCAAATCGAAAGATATATAGGGACTTTGGTGTCCTATTTACCTAAAATCGGACGAAAATATATATATGGGAGCTATATCTAAATCTGAACCGATTTTCAGGAAACTTATCACACATCATTCCAAACCTATTTCATTATGCTGTGCCAGATATCGTGCAAATCGAAAGATATTTAGGGACATTAGTGCACCATTTACCTTAAATCGGACGAAAATATATATGGGAGCTATATCTAAATCTGAACCAATTTTCACGAAATTTAACACACGTCGTTCTAGATTTAATTCAGTACGCTATGCCAAATTTCGTGCAAATCGAAGGATATATAGGGACTTTGGTGCACTATTTACCTAAAATCGGACGAAAATGTATATGGGAGCTATATCTAAATCTCAACCGAACGAAAATGTATATAGGAGCTATATCTAAATCTCAACCTATTTTCCCGAAACTCACCACTCATCATTCTATACTCAATTCAGTACGCTATGCCAAATTTCGTGCAAATCGAAATATATATAGGGACATTGGAACACCATTTACCTTAAATCGGACGAAACTATATATGGGAGCTATATCTAAATCTGAACCGATTTTCACGAAGTTTAACACACGCCGTTCTTGGCTTAATTCAGTACGATCTGCCAAATTTCGTGCAAATCGAAAATATAAAAGGGCTTTGGTGAACCATTTACATTAAATCGAACGAAAATATATATGGCCGCTATATCTAAATCTGAACCGATTTTTCCCAATTTCAGTAGGGTTCGTCCTTGGGCCAAATAAATGAGCTGTGCCAAATTTCATCCAATTCGAATCATAAATGCGACGTGCACGTTGTTTACAATTTAACACCAACAGACGGACGGACATGCATAAATCGACCCAGAAAGTGATTCTATGCATATTCTCAAAAGGAACCATGGGTCTATCTCGATTGCTTTTGCCGGTTACAAACATATGCACAAAGCCATAATAACCTGCACCATAGTGTGGTGAAGGGTATAAATAGTCCCTTCACATTCACCAGATCTGTAGTCCTTGAAAAATAATCCTTAAAAACGCCAGCAGTCCTTAAAAATCCACGCTAGCAGTCCTTGAAAGATAATCTTTAAAAATCCACGCTAGCAGTCCTTGAAAGATAATCTTTAAAAATCCACGCCTGTAGTCCTTGAAAAATAATCCTTTAAATCCAGGCCTTGAAAAATAATCCTTAAAATTTCTCCCTTAAAAATACACTGTTGTCCTTGAAAATTAATCCTTAATTTTTTCCGTACAATCCACGCCTGTAGTCCTAAAAAATAATCCTTAATTTTTTTCTGTAATTTCCACGTCTGTAGTCTTTAAAAAAAAATCCTTAATTTTTTCCACCTTTAGTAAAAACTACACTCCTCGGATGGTCCTTGAAAAATTAATTTTTCTAAAAAGTCCATGCCTTGGTTGGTCCTTAAAAAATCCACGCCTTGGTTGGTCCTCTAAATAGTCCCCGCCTTAATTGGTCGTTGAAAAATATTTTTTTTAAATCCACGGCTTGGTTGGTCCTTAAAAATATTTTTTTTTAAGATCCACGCCTTGGTTGGCCCTTAAAAAAATATGTTTTAAAATATCCACACCTTGGTTGGTCCTTACAAATCCACGCCAATGCTCCTTGAAAAACTCTTCCATCTACAAAAGTTCCTTTGATATATTTTTTTTCTTATGTTATCTCTCCAACTCCAACTTCTGAAAAAAATGTCCTGACAACCACTTTTTCAGCATTTTTCCACCAAATGGCATAGTAAATTCCTGTGAAATTGAAAAAAAATATCCAAAATCACATTTCTTACATTATTATCCAAAATAAATGAGGTTAGTAAAATATTTAGCAGGCCCACGACATTTGCTTTGTCTCCAACATACGAAAATCGAATAATAAGCTTTGGCAAAGCTGCTTTGAAAATAATGTGTGCGGTTACCGGGGCGGAGGAAAGAAATCAACAACAACATCAGAAAATAAATTAAACTTGCCAACAAATCAGGTGTTGTTGTGGTTACAATAAAATCCATTGTTGTTGTTATTTTTTCAGGAATTCCATTTATTTTTATTTGGAGATGATATCCGTTCTCTGATGTGCAGCTTATTTTTTGTTGTTGAAATTTAAATAAAAAAAAAAATCAAAAGTCCACGCCTTGATTGGTCCTTTGAAAAATATTCTTTAATAAGTCCACACCTTGATTGGTCCTTGAAAAAATATTCTTTAAAAAAATCCATGTCTTGATTGGTCCTTGAAAAATAGTAAGTTTTAAAAAATCCACGCCTTGATTGGTCCTTGGTCCTTGGAAAAAATATTCTTTTAAAAAATTCACGCCTTGATTGGTCCTTTGAAAAATATTCTTTAATAAATCCACGCCTCAGTTGGCCTTTGAAAAATATTCTTTAATAAATCCACGTCTCAGTTGGCCTTTGAAAAATATTCTTTAATAAATCCACGCCTCAGTTGGCCCTTGAAAAATATTCTTAAAAAATCCACGCCTTGTATAGGCCTTAAAAAAATATTCGTTAAAAACGCCTTGATTGGTCCTTTGAAAAATATTCTTTAATAAATCCACGCCTTGATTGGTCCTTTGAAAAATATTCTTTAATAAATCCACGCCTTGATTGGTCCTTTGAAAAATATTCTTTAATAAATCCACGCCTTGATTGGTCCTTTGAAAAATATTCTTTAATAAGTCCACGCCTTGATTGGTCCTTTGAAAAATATTCCTTTAATAAGTCCACGCCTTGATTGGTCCTTTGAAAATTTTTCTTTAATAAATCCACGCCTCAGTTGGCCCTTGAAAAATATTATTTAATAAATCCACGCCTCAGTTGGCCCTTGAAAAATATTCTTTAATAAATCCACGCCTCAGTTGGCCTTTGAAAAATATTCTTTAATAAATCTTCGCCTCTGTAGGTCCTTTAAAAAATATTTTTTATTAAATCCACGTCTCTGTAGATCATTTGAAAATATTTTTTAGTTAGTCCACGACTCTTTTGGCCCTTTAAAAAACTATTCATGGAAAAAATCTAATAAGTATCATCCGCTCCTAATTCATTTCCAGGGTGCCATTGAAATTGTCAAACTGATGTTCTTCATGCAACCCGAAGAGAAAGCGGTCTGTCTCAGCCGCACAGATGTCCAAAAAATGACACCGCTACATTGTGCCTCAATGTTCGATCATCCCGATATTGTGGAATATCTGGTTAAAGAGGGAGCCGATATCAATGCTCTGGACAAGGAGCATCGCTCACCTTTAATGTTGGCCGCTTCACGGGCCGGTTGGAAAACCGTACACGTCCTTATACGCCTTGGAGCGAATATCAGCATTAAGGATGCCTGTTCGCGTAATGTGCTCCACCTGGTCATCATGAATGGTGGTCGTCTGCAGGAATTCGCCGAGGAAGTTTGTAAGACCCAGTCTCAAGCTCAATTGGAACAGTTACTTAACGAAAAGGACAATACAGGGTGTTCGCCACTGCACTATGCCAGTCGGGATGGTCACATCAGATCACTGGAAAATCTAATACGTCTGGGTGCCTGTATAAATCTAAAGAACAATAACAATGAGAGTCCGTTACATTTTGCGGCGCGCTATGGTCGCTATAATACGGTCAAGCAGTTACTGGATTCGGAAAAGGGCTCGTTTATCATTAATGAGAGTGATGGTGAGGGTTTGACTCCGTTGCATATTGCTTCGCAACAGGGTCATACTAGGGTGGTACAACTGCTGCTGAATCGTGGTGCTTTGCTGCACAAGGATCATAATGGTCGGAATCCTTTGCAGTTGGCTGCCATGTCGGGTTATACTGAGACAATTGGCCTCTTGCATTCGGTGCATTCTCATTTGCTGGATCAGGAGGATAAGGATGGGGTAAGTGAGAATCTCTTCTTTCTTTTTATAAAAAAAAAATAATAAATGTCCCCTCTCCAGAACACCGCCCTCCACCTGGCCACCATGGAAAACAAGCCCCGGGCCATTTCAGTATTACTCTCGATGAACTGTAAACTGCTCTACAATCGCATGGATCTGAGTGCCATCGATTATGCCATTTACTATAAATATCCGGAGGCGGCACTGGCCATGGTCACCCATGAGGAACGTGCCAATGAGGTGATGGCATTGAAGTCGGACAAGCATCCGTGCGTGACCCTGGCATTGATAGCATCGATGCCCAAGGTATTTGAGGCTGTGCAGGATAAATGCATTACCAAGGCTAACTGTAAAAAGGATTCGAAAAGTTTTTATGTAAGTAATAAAAAGCAATTCTTAAAGAACATTCACACACATGGCACACACACATACCTATGTATGTGTGTGTGCGAGCATATTTTTTAAATCAAATAAAATCCATTGAAAATTCTAATCTTAAATAATTTAATCCTACATAATTTAATTTAACCAAACAAAAAAATCCTTTCCTTATTCCTCCTCCTAACTACACCCCCATTTATTATCACTTGGACCCATGCCCTGCCACACCATTAGAGAATGCAATTTTTCAATATTTCAGCTCTTTTTTTTAGTTGAGACTTTTTTATATTCCTTTTTGTAATCATTTGTCTTTTTCTTTATCTTTACAGATTAAGTATTCATTTTCTTTCCTGCAATGTCCTTTCATGTATGACAAAACGGATGAGAAAAGCGGTGAAAATGCCATACCATTGCCGGCCTTAAATGTAAGTTCCGATTTTTTTTAAATAAAAAATATCTAAAAATTAAGGGGCTGAGAAAAAATATTTTTCAAAGGATCTGCTATCCAAAATAAGTAAAATTATTACAGCATAATTTTCAAAGGCGTGGATTTTTTAAAGGACCTACAAAAGAGGCGTGGATTTATTAAAGAAGATTTTTCAAGGGCCACCTGAGGCGTGGATTTATTAAAGAATATTTTTCAAAGGCCAACTGAGGCGTGGATTTATTAAAGAATATTTTTCAAACTGAGGCGTGGATTTATTAAAGAATATTTTTCAAAGGACCAATCAAGGCGTGGATTTATTAAACAATATTTTTCAAAGGACCAATCAAGGCGTGGATTTATTAAAGAATATTTTTCAAAGGACCAAAAGAGGCGTGGATTTATTAAAGAATATTTTTCAAAGGACCTAAAGAGGCGTGGATTTGTTAAACAAATTTTTTAAAGGTCCAAAAGAGGCGTGGATTTATTAAACAAATTTTTCAAAGGTCCAAAAGAGGCGTCTGAGTCGATTTATGCATGTCCGTCCGTCTGTTGGTGTTAAATTGTGCACAAAGTACGGGTCGCATTCATAATCCAAATTGGATGAAATTTGGCACAGCTCATTTATTTGGCCCAAGGACAAACCCTATTGAAATTGGGAAAAATCGGTTCAGATTTAAATATAGCTCCCATATATATTTTCGTCCGATTAAGGGCAAATTGCGCACCAAAGTCCCTAAATATCTTTCGATTTGCACTAAATTTGGCACAGCGTACTGAATAAAGTCTAGAATGATGTGTGCTAAGTTTGGTGAAGATCATTTCATATTTAGATATAGCTCTCATATATATATTCGTCCGATTTGAGGTAAATAATGTATCAAAGACCTTAAATATCTTTCGATTGGCACGAAATTGGGCACAGCATACTGAATAAAGCCTATAATGATGTGTGCTAAGTTACGTGAAAATCAGTTCAGATTTAGATATAGCTCCCATATATAGTTGTCCGATTTAAGGTAAATGGTGCACCAAAGTCCCTAAATATCTTTCGATTTGCACGAAATTTAGCACAGCATACTGAATTGAGTCTAGAATGATATGTGATAAGTTTCGTGAAAATCGGTTCAGATTTAGATATAGCTATCTTATATATTTTCGTCCGATTTAATATAAATGGTGCACCAAAGTCCCTGAAAATCATTCGATTTGCACGAAATTTTGCACAGCGTACTGAATTAAGAATAGAATGAAGTGTGTTAAGTTTGGTGAAGATCGGTTCATATTTAGATATAGCTCCCATATATATTTTCGTGCGATTTAATATAAATGGTGCACCAAAGACCCTATATATTCTTCGATTTGCACAAAATTTGACATAGCGTACTGAATTGAGTCTAGAATGATGTGTGCTAAGTTTCCTGAAGATCCATACAGATTTGGATATAGCTTCGTCCGATTTTACATAAATGGTGCACCAAATTCCTATTGTTTGTCCGATTAACATAAAATTTTACACAACGTATCGAATTGAGACTTTAATGGCGTTATTATGTTTTGTTGAAATTTGTGCAGATGCAGCCATAGCTTCCATATGTATTTCGAACGGGTGGCTGATTGAGATTAAATTTTTAACAGTGCGGCGTACGGGATCAGTGTGTATCAATTTTGCTATAAATCGTTTTCCATAAATTTGTCACATGGTACGCAGACGACTCTAAATCTGCCCGAATGAAATTAAATTTATCATAGGTTGCAGAAAGACATGAGTATGTTCATACTATTGTAAGGATACATATGTACAATATACCCAAGTGGTGAAGGGTATCATACAGTCGGCCCAGTCCGACTTTACTACTTTCCTTACTGGTTTTCATATGTAAAGTAAAGTTCTCAACAAGTCTTCAAAAAAAAAAATACATTTCTGTTCTTGTCGTATTTGACACAAACGAAACCTCTCCCTAGCCTCGGCGAACTTCTCCAGAAACTGAAACCATTTCTTGGCCTCAATTCTGCCCAAAATGTCATAACTTTCAAGTATGTCCTTCAAAGAAATGACCAACCAAAAAAAAATTTAAAACATTTCCCTAGTGAAAGCAGAGAAAAAAAGAACCCCACCACAAATGCATACACTCAAAACTATAAGTATGCATACACAAATATAGTTGATGTTAGATAATAACATTTATTGCGAAGAAAAAAAAATCCGACACAAGTTTCTATGTAAAGTGGTGATACTATAACAACTTTCACAGACATTTTTCGGGATGTCGGACAATTGCAGCCAAGTCCCCCTCGATGACACCTAAATCGAGAGAGCAAAGAAGTAGCCATGCCATAACTTGGCGATGATTGCCTTCGGTCATTGGATGTGTGTGTGTGCATTTGAAGCAAACAAACGAACAAGAAGAGTTCGGTTATGTACCATCATCTTCATTCATTCATTCGGTGGCCACCACTCACTTGGATAAACAGTAACCTCTTGAACAGAACCTTTTCTTGACCAGCATCAATGGCCACCCTCTTCGCATTCAAAATTGAGTGGCAGTAATCCAATGATGTTTGCAAACATTTTCATTTATTCGATGGTCGTTTCGATGTTTGTTGTATATGTGTGCATTATGTACATATGTATGTGGTATTCCATCTTCTTTTCTTGTGGTGGAGGATTCATTATCGCCCGGATTATTAACTGTTATTAAAATAACAAAGAAATAAAAATTTAAACCGGAAAATATTTTTTTAAGAAAAATTCCTATTTTTGGTTCATGTTCTGACAAATCCCAATTTTTGTAATTTTTGAGTTTCCCTAACAACATATTTGCCACCAAAGTCACGATATTTTAATATTTTTAGTTCTCAAGGATGAAAAACATCTTTGCGGGAATTTAGTCCATAATTTTAAAAAAATCCGCCTTTCCAAAAAACAATCTTTAAACCAGTAAGGAAAGTAGTAAAGTCGGACTGGGCATCCTTACAATTGCATTTCACTGTTCCCTACTCATGCCTTTCTGCAACCTATGTATATATATATATATATACATTTAATTTCATTCGTGCAGACTTAGAGTCGTCTGCGTACCATGAGACAAATTTATGGAAATCGATTTATAGCAAAATTGATACACGTTATTTGGTACGGCGCACTGTTAAAAATTTAATTTCAATTAGGCACCCGTTCGAAATATGTATGGAAGCTATGGCTGCATCTGCACAAATTTCAACAAAACGGCGAAAATATATATGGGAGCTATATCTAAATCTGAACCGATTTTCCCGAAACTTACCACACATCACTCTAGACTCAATTCAGTACGCTATGCCAAATTTCGTGCAAATCGAAGGATATATAGTGACTTTGGTGCCCCATTTACCTAAAATCGGGCGAAAATATATATGAGAGCTATATGTAAATCTGAACCGATTTTCACGAAATTTAACACACATCACTATAGACTTCATTCAGTACGCTATACCAAATTTCGTGCAAATCGAAGGATATATAGGGACTTTGGTACACTATTTACATAAAATCGGACAAAAATATATATGGGAGCTATATCTAAATCTGAACCGATTTTCCCGAAACTTACCACACATCACTCTAGACTCAATTCAGTACGCTATGTCAAATTCGTGCAAATCTAAGGATATATAGGGACTTTTGTACACCATTTATCTAAAATAGGGCGAAAATATATGTGGGAGCTATATCTAAATCTGAACCGATTTTCACAAAATTTAACACACATGGTTCTAGACTTAATTCAGTACCCTATGCCAAATTTCGTGCAAATCGAAGGATATATAGGGACATTGGTGCACCATTTACCAAAAATCGGGCGAAAATATATATGGGAGCTTTATCTAAATCTGAACCGATTTTCACGAAATTTAACACACATCACTATATACTTCATTCAGTACACTATTCCAAATTTCGTGCAAATCGAAGGATATATAGGGAATTTGGTGCCCCATTTACCTTAAATCGGGCGATAATATATATGGGAGTTATATCTAAATCTGAACCGATTTTCTCGAAACTTAGCACACATCATTCTAGGCTTAATTCAGTACGTTGTGCTAAATTTCGTGCAAATCGAAAGATATATAAGGACTTTGGTGCACAATTTTCATAAAATCGGACAAAACTATATATGGAAGCTATATCTAAATCTGAACCGATTTACTCGAAACTTGGCACACATGATTCTGGACCTACTTCAGTACTCTATGCCGAATTTCCTGCAAATCGAAAGATATATAGGGACTTTGGTGCCCATTTACTTTAAATCGGACGAAAATAAATTTCATCCAAATCGGATCAAAAGTCCGACCTGTACTTTGTTTACAATTTAACATCTACAGACGGACGGACGGACCGACTGACGGTCATGCATAAATCGACTTAGAAAGTGATTCTATGCATATTCTCAAAAGGAACCATGTGTCTATCTCGTTTCCTTTTTCCTGTTACAAACATATGCACAATGACATAATACCCTGTACCACATTGTGGTGAAGGGTATACAAATGAGGGTACTCTTCTATGGGGGCTATCCAAAAAAATGGACCTATATTCATAATAATGAACCTATATTCACATAAGAACTCAAAATACTAAATTACAGCCAATTCGTTGGAAAAATACAATCAAAACCCCTAAAATATTGAAAATTAGGAGGTACCGTTTTATGGGGGCTACCAGAAAAAGTGAACCTATATTTATAATTTTTTTGTGGAGACATTTAGTACCCAATAGGAACCCAATGTACCAAATTTCAGCGAATTCGGATGAAAAACGCGCTCAAGAACCGCAAAATACCGAAAATTGGGGGTACCGTTATATGGGAGCTATGTCTAAACGTGGACCGATATATCCCATCTTCGAAATTGACATGCCTGCAGACAAAAAACAAACCTATGCAAAATTTCAGCACCCTATCTCAATTCCTTCAGAAGATAGCGTGATTACAACAGACGGACATGCCTAGATCGTCTTAGAATTTTACCTGATCAAGAATATATATACTTTATAGGATCGGAAAAGAATATTTCGATGAGTTACAAAGGGAATGACAAAATTAATATACCCTCCATACTATGGTGGAGGGTATAAAAATCCACGCCTTGTTGGTTGTTCCAAAAAATAATCTTTAAAAAATTCACGCCTTGTGTGAACCAAAAAATATTTTTTAAAAAAACATCTAAAAATTAAAAAAATTATTTATTATTAATGTTTTATCCTTATTCCTATTTAGACCATGGTAAATCATGGACGTGTCGAACTTCTGGCCCATCCACTAAGTCAAAAATATTTGCAAATGAAATGGAATTCTTATGGGAAATATGTTCACCTGGCCAATTTGTTGATCTACTCGATATTCTTGCTATTTGTCACGATCTATTCGTCGTTGATGATGAACGGGGTTAAGGTGCAAAATCGTCCCGCCAGTGAGGGTTACAATTACAGTACATATAAGTGAGTATCTCTAAAATAAATATTCTCTATAATTTATACATTTCTCACCCATCTTCTTCTCTCAACAGCTGCTCCGTTTCCTTTACCGGCAGACCCTCAAACGATAGCTGGTACGAGGATTGCTATGAGAGTATCGAACATTCGCCGGCAATTGTATTTTGTGCATTCGTCATTATAGCCTATATTATCGGCTTCTCTCTAAAAGACCTCTTTCAAATCTACCAGCAGCGTCTGCACTATTTTTTGGAAACCATTAACATCATCCAATGGATCCTCTACATATCAACATTGATTATGATATTGCCGATTTTCAAATCGGACAGTGGCATTACGAATGTACACTATTCGGCCGCATCGATATCGGTATTCTTTTCGTGGTTTCGTTTGCTGCTGTTTTTGCAGCGATTCGATCAGGTGGGGAGGATTAAAATAAATTTTATTACCTTAAAAATTAAATTCCCTATTTTGAATTTTTTGTTTAGGTTGGCATCTATGTGGTCATGTTCTTGGAGATCTTACAGACCCTTATCAAAGTTTTGCTGGTATTCTCAATATTGATAATAGCATTTGGTTTGGCCTTTTATATTTTGTTATCGAAGGTAGGTTGGGATGGAAGGGGATTTTTTTGAGCTCTAACTAAAATATTTTCCCCCTTTTTCAGATTGTCGACCCGCAACCGAATCATTTGAGTTTTTCCAATATCCCCATGTCCCTGCTGAGAACATTCTCAATGATGCTGGGCGAATTGGATTTTGTCGGCACGTATGTCAATACCTATTATCGGGAACAGCTAAAGGTTCCGGTTACATCATTTTTAATATTGGGTAAGTATCAGAATAACAGAATTTTAGAAAGGATATCCGAATAGAAAAATTTGCAAGGTTGGCTTCTAGCCTCCAAAAAAATGAATCTGAAATATTTTTTTTTAATTTTTTTCTCCACCAGGCATCTTTATGATTTTAATGCCCATATTGCTCATGAATTTACTCATCGGTTTGGCTGTCGGCGATATTGAGTCGGTGCGTCGGAATGCCCAATTGAAACGTTTGGCAATGCAGGTTAGTATCCAAGCACTGAAATTAAATGAAGAAAATCCAAAATTAATTTTCAAATTATTTCCCTAATTTCAATTCGATTTTCTTTAGGTGGTACTACACACCGAATTGGAACGAAAATTACCCAAACGCTGGCTGCAGAAAATCGATAAAATGGAATTAATCGAATATCCGAATGAAACGAAAGGCAAATTGGGTTTCTTTGATTTTATATTGCGGAAATGGTTCTCCAATCCCTTCACTGATGATAGTAAGTAGATGGCAAATGTTAAAATCCCGATCTTGTTGGATATTGAAATTGGTGCCCAACGTAAAATATAAAAAAGTGAACTTTTCTATTTCCAAAAATCTGGCGCCCAATGTGAAATTTTATGAACCTTAAAATATTTTGAATGGAACGGCACCATTATATCCGGGGTTAAGGGGTATCAACAATATTTTTATTCTTTTTCAAGTTGGCGCCCAACGTAAAATGTAAAGTTTTTAAAATGCACTGTATTTTTAAATATTTTCTATAGAAAAAATAAGACCTTTGCTCTATGCATTTATTTCCCCAGGAATCTGAGACCGTGGTAAATTATTTCCATAGCTAAAAATCGGTGCTCAGGAATTAGGATAATTGAAGTTAACACCAATATAACACAATTTCCATTAAAAATTCTCTCGAGAGGCAAGTTAGGTTTCTTTGATTTTATATTGCGGAAATGGTTCTCCAATCCCTTCACTGATGATAGTAAGTAGATGGCAAATGTTAAAATACCGATCCTCTTGGATATTGAAATTGGCGTCCAACGTAAAATATAAAAAAGTGAACTATTTTTTTTTTTTTCAAAAATCCGGCGCCCAACGTGAAATTTTATGAACCTTAAAATATTTTGAATGGGTGCCGTTCCATTATATCCGGGCTTAAGGCGTATCAACAATATTTTTTCTTTTTCAAGTTGGCGCCCAACGTAGCATTTTTAAAATGCACTGCATTTGGTCAAAATGCAACATATACAACTGGGATCTTAATCTGGAATGTAAATATTTTCTATAGAGAAATAATACCTTTGCTCTCTGGATTTTTCTATAGGAAGTCTATAGATAAATATCGACAAATTGGGTTTCTTTGATTTTATATTGCGGAAATGGTTCTCCAATCCCTTCACTGATGATAGTAAGGAGATAGATATTGAAATTGGCGCCCAACGTAAAATATAAAAAATGAACTATTTTATTTCCAAAAATTTGGCGCCCAACGTGAAATTTTATGAACCTTAAAATATTTTGAATGGAACGGCACCATTATATCCAGGGTTAAAGTTATCAACAAAAATTGTTTCTTCTTCAAGTTGGCGCCCAACGTAAAATTTCTAAAACAGACTGCATTTGATTAAAATGCAGCATAAAAAAATCAGATCTTAATCTGTTTTCTGTAATATAAATATTTTTTATAAAAAAAATAAGACCTTTGATCTGTGATTTTTTCTATAGGAAGTTTTCTGTGATCAATCCTGAAATCGGTGAATTATTTCCATAGATAAATATCGACAAATTGGGTTTCTTTGATTTTACATTGCGGACATGGTTCTCCAATCCCTTCAGTGATAATAATAAGTAGATGGATATTGAAATTGGCGCCCAACGTAAAATATAAAAAGCGAACTTTTTTATTTCCAAAAATCTGGCGCCCAATGTGAAATTTTATGAACCTTACAATATTTTGAATGGAACGCCACCATTATATCCGGGGTTAAGAGGTATCAAAAATGTGTTTTTTTAAGCTGGCGCCCAACGTAAAATTTTTAAAATGCACTGCATTTGATTGATCCAAATGCAAAATATACAACTGGGGTCTTAATCTGTTTTCTGGAATGTAAAGATTTTCTATAGAAAAAAATACCTTTAATCTATGGATTTTTTCTATATGAAGTCTTCTGTGATCAGTCCATAAACCGGTGAATTATTTCCATAGATAAATATCGACAAATTGGTTTACATTGATTTTATATTGCGGAAATGGTTCTCCATTGTAAGTAGATGGTCCTGATGATTGTAAGTAGATGGATATTGAAATTGGCGCCCAACGTTAAATATTATGAACCTTAAAATATTTTGAATGGAACGCCACCATTATATCCGGGGTTAAGGGGTATCAACAATATTTTTTTCTTTTTCAAGTTGGCGCCCAACGTAAATTTTTTTAAAATACACTGATTAAAATGCAACATATAAAACTGGGATTTAATCAGTTCTCTACACTGTAAATATTTTCTATAAATACATACATAAATACATTAGCTCTATGTTTCTCTAGGAATCAAACAATCCTGTCCTGAGATCATGGTGAATTATTTCCATGGCTAAAAATCGGTATTCAGAAATTAGGATTATTGAATATAACACAATTTCCATTACAAAATCCTCTCTAATTTTCATTATCTCTCTCTTTTCTTCCACCACAGGTTCCATGGACAATTTGCAATTCGACAACAGTGAAGATTATCTCAACAGCGAACTGGAGAAGCATCGTCGTAAATTGCGTGAAATAACCCGTATCCTGGATCAACAGCATAAATTGTTGCGATTAATTGTACAAAAAATGGAAATCAAAACCGAGGCCGATGATGTCGACGAAGGCGTCTCTCCCAATGATTTACGTGATAATAACGGACGCAGTAGTACGAGTAGTGGTTCACGTTGGACCTCACCACGTATACGGAATAAGTTAAGAGCAGCGTTAAGTTTTAATAAGGGTATATAGGAGTTAAGGAAACGACACATAGCCACAACAACAATGGGAATTTTTAGAATTGATGAATGATTCAGGCACTATTGCTTTCGTAGATAAATGAAATTATATTTTTATATATGTATAAGATAAGGTTAAGGCAGGACGGAAGTTCGAACAGGTAAACAAAAAATATTTTCATAGAAACATTGCAGAAGTATAGGAAAGAAGAAGAAGAAAAAGAAAAATAACTATTTTTGCTATTGCTAAGAAGTTAACAGGATTTTATGTTAGGTTAGGGAGGTCACTATCAGGTGACTTAATTTTTTAATGAATTTATTGATTAGGTATATGATTAGGTGTCATAAGAAAGCCAGAAAGAACAAAATTTATCATAAATAACAAAGACAGAGGACATTTCCGAAGTGTCAATGCCAATTCAACAGCTGATTATCAAATTTTAAGTTTAAAAAAAATCCGATGGTTTGGCTAGTCAGTTAGATGTAATTAATTTTAGTGAACGGGACACCTTCTGCGGAATTATAGAAGACTACATGGTAGTTCTATTATTGTCTTTGAAAAATTGTACGATAAATCTCTTATGTGGATCAATGACATAAACCACAACCTACTGTAGATTTGTGTCTACACTATTCTCAATAAAACAATTACTATGATTAAATGCACAAGATGGCGCCACTGGAGAATATCACCCTTTGCGGTGAAGTTGAGATTTCATTCAGAGGGTGCAATGAACCGAAAACTTTAATTTTGTCAGATTTTCTAGTCGCTCTCAGGGATGGTCCGTTTGACGAATTTTTAGGTTTTTGACTGTCAAAAAGTAGTAAACGTCGAAAACGTCATATACTTGTATAAAATGTAATAAATGTAGTAAACGTCATTTATTTCAATATTATAACCATATACAGTTATTTTCAAGAATATATATTATTTTTACGTACTTCTGACTGTTCCTTACTAATGCTGATAAAAAATTCTGAACTTTTTTGAGAAGAAAATTTTGACATTTTATATGGATTTGAGTAAAGCGTGCGTAATTTTCGAATTGATTAATGGGAAACCTAATGGTTTTGGGGGGGTTTCCGACGTTTTTGACGTATGTATTATACGTCGGAAATGTATATCATTTACGTCACTGTTTCTGACGGACCATCTCTGGTCGCTCTAGCGGCAATTATTATATGCAGAACATAACATAATTAACAAGGTGAAGGGGATCTGACCAAATACTTAGAGCGGTTGTTTAGATGATGATCGGTCAATATTCCGAGGGTCAAATCAACCAAAACCAAAAGTGACCAAGAACAAATTTTGGAAAATATGCCAGGGTTAGAAAGTGGAGTTGTTGATCTATAATCGGTAAAAAGGGTGCAAATATCACGAAATATTGCCCAGGCTCAGAATATAGAACCGTAGAATGTTTGCCGTCCGACTATACTGCTCCGCTCACTGTTTTTTAATTATTTTTTAAAGAACTACAACAGGCGTGGATCTTTTAAAATTATTTTTTAAAGATCTACAACAGGCATGGATTTGTATACCCTACACAACTATGTTGTCAGGGTATTATAGCTTTGTGCAGCCCCAAGAGTTTGTAACGCCGCGAAACACTGGTCCTAGACCCACCTTTATGTATACCGATCGTCATATCTCGACTAGCTGAGTCGATCTAGACATGTGTGTCCGTCCGTCTATCCATTATAATTTGTAAACACGATACAGGTCACAGTTATGGACCAATCATCACGAAATTTTGCATGTAGTATAGGTTCTGACAAATGAAGACCACTATTGTTTTTGGTAAAGATCGGTTAATATTTAGGGGATGAAATGGACCAAAAACTTTATTTTTGTCTGATTTTCTGGTACCTCCAGAGACCGCAATTATGGCCCAAATATCGCGAAATTTTACATGGAGTAGGGTATCGGGCCAAGGAATGAACATGCCTGTTTTCATAAAGATTGGTCAATATTTAGCGGGTCAAATGGACCCTGACTTTTGTGTGAAAAATTACAAAATTTGTATTCTATGGCGTATGTATTTACTCCTGAAGAACATAGACCCGAGAAGTTGATAGTATATACAAGAGAATTGATACCAGTTATATTGTCGTATATATTCGGATGTAGGAGTTACACTTAAATATTTACAGGTGCTTACGTTTTCAGATATTATTTAGTAACCCATTACCACACAAGAGGGCTGAAATATAGCACTGATCGCTTTGAAATTTTCCATGAGGATCCAAGTATGGTCAAGGACGACGCCTATAATTTTCGGTGATGATCAGATAATAACATTGGGATGAAGTAGGTCGAACACCTATTTTTTTTTGATCTATAAGCCCAACACCACAACACAACTCAGGGAGAAGGGAATCTGGACAAGTAATTGAAGGGCTGTACTGAATATTAGTAATATTCGGAATATATATCAGTGTAAGGAAGAGATGCTGTTGACTTCTAATCAGACAAGAGGGTACAAATATCAGGAAAAATTTCTCAGGCTAGCAAGAAACATCCGCAGAAAGTTAGAGTCCCGTGGTAGTTGGGTGGGGTATCGTATGGTCGGCCCCGTCCGACTATACTGCTCCACTCACTGGTTTTAAATTATTTTTCATGAACCACAAATTGGCGTCTTTTAATTAATTTCAAAGCATAGATTTGTTTTAATTAATTTTTCAGGGCGGGGATTTTTTAAATACATTTTCAAGACGTGGACTCTTTTAAATTAATTTTTCAAGGCGTGAACTTTTTTATAATTAAATTAATTTTTCGATATATTAATTAATTGTTCTATATATTTATTGGACAATTTCTTTATAGATCCATGTTTTGACATATTCCCCATTTTCTACACCTCGGAATCAGGCCTATTTCAGATTTATTGATGTCCTAGCCTAACGTGATAATATTTTTACTTTCTCATATAATTTTTCTTTCAAAACCAGCATTTAAAAATACACTCTACATTTATCTTGGTGAAACTTTCTTTTTAACACCCTATAGATATCTCCCCTTAGGCATATAATTTTAACCCAGCTTCCACTTCATCCCTTTTCCCATAGTGTTTTGATTTTGGTTTTTTATTTTCTCACACAAAATTGGGTTCATTGCCTTTACACTTTTAACAGTGGCATCCCCCACATAAACTGCACCCTCTTCCATTTCGTTAATAACAGAAGACAGAAAATTGCATAGTTCCTGCTTCCATTCCAATTGTGTATAATTACGAATATGTGTTGTTGTCGTCGGTTATGATGATTGAAAGGGCTTCTTATAATTCACCCTTAAAAATAAAAATAATAGTGGTGGTGTTTCACCGATAATATGTATATTCCAATGAAATACAGTGGTTCAAATAACATTTGAAATCAGTTGGATTAGGAGTTATTTTTTTTCGTTCGAGTCTTCTCTTTAATTTGTTTTTGATATGCTTTTTTTAATTAAGGGAAAGCAATAATTTTCAGAATCACTTCTTTTTGTCTCAGAAATTGAACTTAGTTTTTCGAATTACCTGGACTTTAAATTAAATTTTATTATTGAATTCCTCGAAATTTAATTAGCAAATATGGGATTTCCTGTAATTAAAAATAGCTTTAATTTATATTTATGACAAATGAAGTCATACATACCCTTATTAGAATACCTTGACGACCACTGTGCATTAAGGATATTTGCTATTTTGACAACATTTTCTGTCATCCCCTAAGGCAGATCACAGATGTTAGTTCTATTTTTTCAAGTGGATTAAGGGAAAGCTTCGCTACAATTCCATCCCTTATTGACCTTGCAGGTTTTTCATCAGGTTATCCAACAGCATTAGTCAAATTTCAAGTTTCACACTGTTTTGAAAACATCAAAATCACAAGTTAGAAATAATGAAATAAATAATATATATGTTATATGAGGAGATATTTGCTACGCAATAAGAACATTAAAAGGCTAGGGTCGTATGTGAATTTTTCGGGGAGTTAAAAAGTGGTTTCCCTAAGTATTCAAATTTTTGAAAATAACTATTTAGAAAAACTATTAAAAAAAGAAATGAAAAACACATCTATGCACCATTAGAAACGTTCTTTAGTAGAGACATTTAAAATCTTATAATAAATAATTATCAGATATGTTCTAGATTTTGTACAAAATTATCTTCATATGAAATTTTAGTCTTTTATGGAGGACTAGCATTATCCCCGCAACTTCGTTAGCGAATTTGGGAAATACTTAAACATGTATTAATATATTATTTTATTTTCACAGAAAACTGTATATGTCAGAGAAAACAACCCACACATTAATATCGACCATAAATTAAATTTGAGTACCATTTAGTACCAAATTTTATGATTCGAGCTCTAAAGGTTCACCCAAACCCAAATTTGATCAAATTTAGTTCCATTTAGCACATATTATTTCCACAAGTACCCTCCTCAACCATCCAACAAAGCTTCCTGCATACCCCGATCCTACACCCCCACAATGATTCCAAATTCAAATTTCAGGATTCCAACTCTATTGGTTCACCCACAATTTTAATTGTACCAAATTTAGTACATAAATGTACCAATTTCCTAAACTTCATACATACCCAAATCCTACACCCCCACGCTTCACTCACAATTTAAATTGTACCAAATTTAGTACGCATTAGTATAAATTTCTAAAACTTCCTACATATCTCAATCTTACAACTCAACAGCAATCCTGACTCCAAATTTCATGATTCTAACTCTATTGGTTCACATAAAATTAAAATTGTACCAAATTTAGTACACAGTAGTACAAATTTCTAAAACTTCCTACATACCATAAACCTACACCCCACTGTGATCGTAAATCCAAGTTTCAGGATTCCAACTCCATCGGTTCACCCACAATTCAAATTGTACCAAATTTAGTACACAGTAGTACGAATTTCCTCCTTCTTACCCCATTTACAGTGATCGTAAATCCAAGTTTCAGGTTTTCAACTCTATCGCTTCACACACAATTTAAATTGTACCAAATTTAGT